CCCCCCCGAGATTTTTATTAGAATCTTGTACTGAATAGCACGACTGTTTTAGAGTCTAAACCAGCTGAGAATATTTATGCTCCTGGTTTTAAAGAGCTCAGCCCTCCCTTCGCCTCACTTCCAGGCCTTTTCTCCCCGCTGCTGTTATTGTTTGGCCAGCCTTTATTGCATTAAAAAAAAAAAAAAAATCAAATTTTCAGGACACACTGCATGGTCCTCACTAACAGCACAGTGTAAGAACAGAAGACAGTCCTGCTACCAACACTACTTTATTCAGATACCAAGGGCAAAGACCAGCAGCATCACACATTCAGAAGACCTAAATTTTTTTCTTATTTAAGGTAGCTTTCCTTGTGGCACCTCAGTGCCTGAGGCGTTACAAATGCACACAGAGTTATCTCCATGGTTGCTAGGACTATTACATGAACTAGCTTCAACCTCCTTCTAAGAGCAAAACAGTCAGCATCACAGAAATTATGTCCAACTATGATTACAAAACCAGCAGGATTCCAGTCTTCTGCAGGGGTTGCAAAACACCTCATACACTCTTGAGGTTTAGTTCTCTTTTTACAATACTATCTTCATTCTGAAGTGTGCCACTCTCTTTTCAATCTATGGTGCCAGCTGAGTAGTTTTTAAATTCTCCATTGCATATTAGCCAGTATTTATAAGTCTACCGAGAGCCCCACATGTACTGGAAGGGAGAACATTAGATGCATATAAATCATACTATTAACAAATACAAACAGCAACCAAAATTTGCAAGTGGAGACCTTGTGGTTTCAGATTTTACTGGTAAGCTGTGTGTGTAACTGGTAATGCACATTGGTCCCCTTTGCCTGAACTGAGAAACTCTGGTGGGAAAGATGGTAAGTGGTACTTGGACCTACATGCAAGAGTCTCTTTACTTTGCTTAAGGAGCTATTGAGGAAGGATCAAATGCTTTTGGAAAGCTGAGGGATCAGTAGTGCAGACTGGAGTGTTTAATGTTAAAGGCATTTAGAAACTTAACCATCTCAAAGAGGTGTCTTTCACATGAAATAGAATAGACCTTAGCTGCTATTACTTTTTGAAGAGTCATTGACTATTCTCCTGTTCCTTAAATAGGAATGGTTAGCACAAGATAGTGGCCACATGGCAACACAGATGATACTATACTAACTGAAATTCCTCCTGATATTTGATAGATAAAGCATTAGTGTGTATTTTACCTATTTAAGGTAAGCCACATTTCAGTACTAACTATACATTCCCAGGTTACGTACCAGATAACAAGTATGACCCAGTAAAAACACTTTATGGGAAAGTTTTTCTGAATTGACCTATACAAGGGCTATAGACATAGGACAGTCTCTCCAAATACCCCCTTGTCCTTTCTCTTCTCGAGCTGTAAGTTAAACCCTTCTTTTTGGTTGCCATCCTCTAAGCCTTTTATTTATATCTTAGCATTTACAGAATTCCTCATTTTTCTAGGACACTACAGTGTTAATGCATCCTCAAAATAAGGTTGGGGAATACTGCTGACCACATTTTATGAGGCAGAAACTGAGACAAAGTAGCGTTGCCCAAAGCATCACAAAAGCTTGGTCCCCTCTTGAACAAGTGTTTTCCTTTCCCTTTAGCAAACTTTGCCAAACTGGATAAAACCTGATTGGAATTTGGAAGCCAGATCTGCACTAACTTCTAACTTTAAAAATTAAGACACATCCAGCAGCCAAGAAGCTGGTTAGAAGTCTAGCTGCAAGTAATTTGTTTAATGCCACTTAACCCTTCTATTTTGAAAGAAGGGTTCTCAGCAGTTCTTTTGCATACTCCCACAAGAACGGGGACCCTGCTAGCAGAAACCCATCTGAGTCATAGCAACAAGATCCGTATCCACTGATGAAAATCCTCCTCAGATGCTTTACAGACACCACCAATCTCCAGTCTACTGGTAGCACACACTGGTTCCTTTTACCTGAACCGAGAAACCCAGATGAGAAGGATGACAAGTGGAATGTAGACCTACATGCAAGAGACTCCTTATTTAGCTTAAAGAGCTATCAAGGACAGATCACCTGCTTCTGGAAAGCTGAGGGATCAACAGTGCAGACTGAAGGATAGTTGAGGATTTACAGATAAAGATGACATCTGAGGCAAATATTGAGAACTCCTTTGAAATTCAGATTTTAAAGACACAGCTTTCACATCAGCTAAGGAGCGTGTAAAGGAAAAAATGCCCTGGGAGAAGAAGGGGAAAGAATCATAAAGCTAAGCACACATGGCTTTAAACAAATCCACACCTCTCTGC